TCCTGCTCCCACTGTCCTTCAGCATTTCTGTCTCACGCCTTCTGCCTCGGGGGGACACAGCCAGGCTGCGAATCCCTTGAACACGCTTGTGTAAGGCGTTGCCTACGCTTCTTGCTGTGACATTGTAGGAGGCAGGAGGCAAGGCTGCGAAGTATGGAATAGCGTGACGCTCGGAGACCAAACGCCAGGGATGTCCTCCCGCATCCTTTGCAGGCATTGTTTACGCAGCTCCTGGTTAAAATACGGAACTGGCTCCCATGGGAGGCAGTGATGGCCACCAATCTAGGCAGCTTTAAAAGATAGATAGAGGAAATCTAGGGTCACGGGTGGCGCTGTGGGTTAAACCACAGAGCCTAGGGCTTGCCGATCAGAAGGTCGGCGGTTCGAATCCCCGTGACGGGGTGAGCTCCCATTGCTCGGTCCCTGCTCCTGCCAACCTAGCGGTTCGAAAACACGTCAAACTGCAAGTAGGTAAATAGGTACCGCTCTGGCGTGAAGGTAAATTGCCTTTCCGTGCGCTGCTCTGGTTCGCCAGAAGCGGCTTAGTCATGCTGGCCACATGACCCGGAAGCTGTACGCCGGCTCCCTCGGCCAGTAAAGCGAGATGAGCGCCGCACCCCAGAGTCGGCCACGACTGGACCTAATGGTCAGGGCTCCCTTTACCTTTACCTAGATAGAGGAAAAGGCTATTGGAGGCGACTAGCTGTGATGGCTGTTCTCTGCCTCCACAGTTGGATACAGGAATGTTTCTGAATACCAGTTGCTGGAAACTGCAGGAGGGAAGAGTGGTCTTGTTCTCACATCCGTTCAGGTTTCCCACTGGCCTCTGGCTGGCCACTGTGAGAACAGGATTCTGGATTAGATGGGCCACTGGTTTCCAGCAACTGATACTGGGAAGCATTTTGTGGCGGCAGAGGCATAGCCATCATGGCTGATAGCCTTCCCTCCGTCAATTTGCCCTATCCTCTTTTGACACCGGTCCAGGCCCCACCCATCTCTGCCTCCAGCCATGCTCACTGGGATATAGACCTTGACCACTCACTGATTGCTGCATTACGGCTCAGGACCGCAGTAGCTCAGGGGCCGCCTCTTTCCATATGAACCTACCTGGACCCTGAGATCATCTTCCGAGGCCCTCCTTCATGTGCCTCCTCCTCGAGAGCTGCGGAGGGTGGCAACACGAGAACGGGGCCTTCTCTGCAGTGGCTCCCCGTCTGTGGAATGCTCTCCCCAGGGAAGTTCGCCTGGCGCCTTCATTATACACCTTTAGGTGCCAGGCAAAAACGTTCCTTTTGAACCAGGCTTTTGGTTGACCTGATTGACATCCTATGCCCTTTTAAAATATGGTTCTTTTTGGGGGTGGGGGTGTGTTATTGCGTTATTGTTTTTATTTTTATTTTATATATTGTGAGCTTTTCTGTGAACCACCCTGAGACCTCCAGGTATAGGCTGGGATATAGATTCAATAAATAAATAAGACAATTTGGCCTTTGGGTGGGAGGGGAAGGCAGAAAGATAGCCCACCCCTTTTCCAGCCCATCATTCTCTTTCCGACAGCAGCTGTCCAGCTGACTGCTGTGGAAGCTCGCCTCCTGGACATGAACATGATTTATGCCCTCCAACATTTCCCCAATGAAAATGGGGACATTCTGTTCTACATCAGGAAGCTTCTCTCGTGTTTGATCTTGCTGCAAACATGGGTCCCCCCCCCCAATAATTTTTGTTATTTTTTTCCAAATATCTTAAACACAACACAGCTTAACAATATTATTCTCCTTTCAATCTATATCTTATCCGAATTAACTTCCTTCCACCCTCTTCTGGCTTCTCTACATTGCTCTTACTTAAGCGCGATTACTATATATACATTCTATAAATGTCTATAATTCCTTAATAATTTTTTGTATTATACTTTGGACATGCATTCCTTATTATATTACAGCATTACATCTTGTGGTTGCAAACATATATGTTGTATGCACATATACATCTGTCACCTTGAGGCAATTGCAACCTCTCAGCCTAACCAACCTCACAGGATTGTTTCAACGAGAAAGTGTGCAAGGGAAGGGATCATGTACAACACCTTCAACAGATCAGTGGAATGAAATAATTTTTTTGCTGTAAGTGCCTTGAGTCCCTGTCAGGAAAAAAAGATGGGAAATAATAATAATAATAATAATAATAATAATAATAATAATAATAGAAACTGTGAGGGCAATCAGGAGAATATCAGAGTAAATCCTGTTGAACTCAGTGGGACTTAGGTAAAGGTAAAGGGACCCCTGACCATTAGGTCCAGTCGTGACTGACTCTGGGGTTGCGGCGCTCATCTCGCTTTATTGGCCGAGGGAGCCGGCGTACAGCTTCCGGGTCATTTGACCTTCTGATCAGCAAGTCCTAGGCTCTGTGGTTTAACTCACAGCGCCACCCACATCCCTTCAGCGGGACTTAGTTCTGAGTAAAAATGCTTAGCATGGCATTGTAAGGCTGCGCAGTCCCTGTTATCTGGGAGTAAGCTTCGTTGAATACAGTGGGGCTTACTTCTGAGTAGACGGCGTATGGCACCATTTACAGTAAAGGAGTAAACACCCCCTGTGTTTCTTTAAAAAACGGCTGGCTGTTGAGGCATGGAAGAATTTAGAGTGGATTGGATTGGTGACATTTCCCTTCAAAATTATAGGAAGCTTCACCATTTCCTTCATTTGGTGCAGGGAAATTTTATTTTCAGTACAAACAGCGCTCCGTTTTTGCACCCCCACAGCCCACCACTTTAAATTTTTCTCCGACATGTGGAGGGGAGGAAAAACCGGGATATCAGAAACTGGGACGGCTTCTGTAATTCCCGAACTGTCCCTGGAAAATAGAGACACTCAGAAGGCTGTGCATGATGCACATCCATGTTGTTTGTTTACCACCCTCTGATTCTCAGAAAAGCATCTTTCCTCTGGACACAGTGTTTCATGTTAAGTACCATGGACAATGAACATCGGCTGGTCCTTGGGGGGTGTTCCCTGCTTCTGTCGGGCCGTTCTGTGATTTTCAGCACTTGTTCTCATAAATGACAGGTGCATTCTGTGTTTGCATCTCAGGTACAAAGGAGCAGCTTCCTGAAATCCTTTTTTTTAAGTTGGTTGGTTGTTTCTTTTTACATTAGATGCTGCGGATGGAATCTGGGGCCTCCTACATGAAAGGAGTGTGCTCTGCCAACACGGCAATCCTCCCCCCCCCCACTCCACCTTACCTCTCACATGGGGATAATTGCACTTACTGATTGTTCCAACAAGACGTCTTTAAGGTACAGAAGAGACTTGTGGGAGGAACCGGCCGTCTTAAGCTTGTTACTTAGGAAGCACTGCTCATCGTTAACCAGACTCGCAATCTTCATTCTCTGTTTCCCAGAAGGTTCTTTTTTTTTCAAATTCCCTACCTCCTGGGGTTATGTGTATTATCTTGTGTGTGTGTGTGTGTTTTTTTTTAAGGAAAGGAATTGTCTAACGCGCACTCGTACGGCTGGGGGAAACTTAGCAGTTGGATCTGAATGTAACCTAAAAGGTCAAAGGGCAGGGGGCAAACGATACAGCCTGATACTGAAATCACTCGGCGGTAGATAAAAGGAAAAGGGACCCCTGACCATTAGGTCCAGTCACAGACGACTCTGGGGTTGTGGCGCTCATGTCGTTTTATTGGCTGAGGGAGCCGGTGTACAGCTTCCGGGTCATGTGGCCAGCATGACTAAGCCGCTTCTGGAGAACCAGAGCAGCGCACGGAAACGCTGTTTACCTTCCCTCTGGAGCGGTACCTATTTATCTACTTGCACTTTGACGTGCTTTCGAACTGCTAGGTTGGCAGGAGCAGGGACCGAGCTGCCGACCTTCTGATCAGAAAGTCCTAGGCTCTGTGGTTTAACCCACAGCGCCACCCGCGTCCCTTCGGCTGTAGATAGGGAGGGGCAAATCTAGTTGATTTCGGTTCCCCCATTTCTCATTTTTCCAGTCTTCAGTTCAACACATTTCCACATCTGTTTGTGAATTCTCCCCACAAAAAAACACAACCTCCTATTTAAAATCCTTTGGCATTTTAGGGCAAATTTCTCCCGATATACACATTTTTTTGTATGCAACTCTGGTCTAGAGCACACATTTCTTCAAAGCAATTCCTCCTAATATAATGGTTTTTGTTTTTTTTTAAAAGTTCCTTTCACTAACAGTTTCTATACACACTTTACTCTAGCACAGGCATAGGCAAACTCCAGATTTTTTGGGACTACAACTCCCATTATCCTTAGCTAACAGGACCAGTGGTCAGGGATGATGGGAATTGTAGTCCCAAAACATCTGGAGGGCCGAGTTTGCCTAAGCCTGCTCCAGCATATGCATCTACACACACTACCATAACTTAGCTGGAGAACTGCATGCAGTCTTTGGAGAAGTGCAAAATTTGAAGGGCGGCTTCTTTTGCAGATCATTTCAGAAAGTGCAAATCTGGTAGGTTTGCCTTTAAAGGTGAACCAAATTGATATTCCCTCCCGCCTCATCCCTAATGGGATGTGCTTTGCATACAGAACATGTGCTTTGAATACTGAATGTCCCGGTTCCATTTATTTATTTATTAAATTTGTACCCCGCCCTTCACCTGCAGATCTCAGGGCGGTCCACAACATAAAAATGCAACGTAAAAGCGCAAATACATGATAAAAAACAGGAACAAAACAAACAGACCGATAACCCCCACAGCACTTCCAGTTAAGAGGTACCTGGCGTGCCACTTCTCTGGGCCCGTGCTAACCCAGCTTTCAGGAATGTGCTGCTTTCCAGATGTTTTAAACTACAACTCCTGACATGATCGCTCCATGCTGACGAAGGCCAAGCCAAGCCGAGGAGTTCAAATGCAGACTTCCATATGGCCCCAATTCCTGGCATCTCAATATAGTTCTTGATGTGTTACTGGATCAATTTGCATATCGTTGGAGATGGTTGTGAGGACTGCAGCGCAGGGGTGGCGGTTGGGGAACATTCTGGGTTTGTAAGCAGCTGCCAAGTTCTTTGCTTCTCACTCGGCAACCAGCGATATGCGTGGCCTCAGACTTCCATGCGCAGAAGTTGAGCTGGGGAACAATTCGCTTAGGAAGGCTGTGTGGGTGGCACAGACACCACGGCTTTTAAAGGCAGAGGAGCCTGGTCTTCTGTGGCACCTGTTTGCCTAACTGCATTTGTTCCCCCCCCAAAAAAATTGAGAAGCAAATGGGGCTTGGGCAGGGGGGATGTTATGTTCACTGGTGATGCTGAGCAGGGCCAGCCTGTTGGGTAACAGCAGATAATAATAATAATAATAATAATAATAATAATAATAATAAAATAAATTTTATTTATATCCCGCCCTCCCCAGCCGAGGCCGGGCTCAGGGCGGCTAACAACAATAAAATAGTGCAACATTCTAAAAACATTTCATTATAAAAATTAATGAAAATCAAATTGATGGCAACCATTAAGCTGAAGTTCTGTGAAGATTGCCAAAGGAGGGAGTCAGGCTGCGCCCTGGCCAAAGGCCTGGTGGAACAGCTCTGTCTTGCAGGCCCTGCGGAAAGATGTCAAGTCCCGCAGGGCCCTAGTCTCTTGTGGCAGAGCGTTCCACCAGGTTGGAGCCGTAGCCGAAAAAGCCCTGGCTCTGTTTGAGGCCAGCCTAACCTCTCTGTGGCCTGGGATGAGACGTGCCCCCCTCACGCTCCAAGACAAGGGGCATAGCACCTAAGGGGGGCCAAGTTACAGCACAAAATCTCACAAGCCCCTCTCCTTCTTTGGAATGAAAACACAACAATAATAAAATTAAATAGCTCAGTTGTTACAGCATGAGATTTTTAATCTCAGAATCGTGGGTTGGAGCCCCACATTGGGCAAACAGATTCCTGCATTGCAGGGATCAGCGTTTCTCCAATTGTTTTTGGACTACAAGTCCTATCGTCCCTGACCATTGGTCCTGCTGGCTAGGGATGATGGGAGTTGTAGTCCAAAAACAGCTGGAGACCCAAGTTTGGGAAACCCTGGATTAGATTATTTTTGGGGTCCCTTCCAACTCCACAATTCTGTGATTCTGTGAAGTAAAGTCAACACTTTGCTGCCCTTTCATGACCTCTAAAACCAGCTGCCTGAGGTGGCCCCCTTATTCTGCCACAGTTTTTGTTACTCAGTGGTCGCTCCTACGCCCTGGAATTGCCATCCTTTGTTTATTCCCTTATAGCAGAGCATCCGCGTGAAGTTGTTGTTAGCCCATTGCATCCCGGCTTAGTGGTTCAACTAGGCCACAGCCTAGCTGGTTCAGATGAAAATAGGGACATATTCCACATCAAGTGTCCCTCTTCCACCCCCTGCTCTACGGATGCTGTGGCCAATCACAACAAGCCGGAGCCAAGTTATTCTGGGGCATTGTGGGGAAATGCCTCACAGTTGTCTGATGCAAAAATTGTTGTGGTGCCACCACTAGTAAGTCCATGGAAAGGGGATGCTGATGTCAGGGATGTGCTGATACCAGGGAAGCCTATCAGATGGCATTTTGCTGAGCTGGTCCTGGCAAACAGATCACGAGCAGCGTGTATAATCTTTTTATTTTATTGCTTTTTATCCACTGTTCAGTCCTAGTCTGTTTTTCTTTTCTGTATGGACCTTAATACTACCAGACATTGCCTTGAGTTGTGAAATAGGGTGAGGAGAGAACTTACTAATGAACCCATGAACGTTGAATTTTTATTTGGACTGCCTTGACAAAAATCAAGACAATTGGCGAACCCTATTACATAGTCCTATTCTTGGATTTTGCCTGTGTCATCAACTTACAGCTTCACCACAATCATTATAGCCTCTGTGGTTAGGAAGGATTCATCACCCACGATACCTCAGGCTAGCTGTCAAGAGGCAAGAGACCTTTGTGTTTTACCCAGGATTCTTGCTCTCGAGATCACTCGATGCAGAGGTCACCCCCACACAGCCAGGGTGTGCAGAGAAAAATCATCCACACCCAATCCTTTCAGTGCAAGATCAAATCGAGGGATAGGGAATTTGTAGTCTTGCAGATATTGTTGGAAATGCTGGCTGGGGCTGATGGGAAACAGAGTTCAGTAAAATCTGGAGTTCCCAATCCATGGGAATCTACAGTATTGGAAACCATGGAGAAATGTTGGAGGGAATAATAATAATAATAATAATAATAATAATAATAATAATAATACAGTCGTACCTCGGAGGTTAAATGCTTTGCGACTCGAACATTTTAGCTCCTGAACGCTGCAGACCCGGAAGTGAGTGTTCCAGTTTGCAAACATTTTTTGGAAGCCAAACACCTGACAGGGCTTCCGCAGCTCCTGATTGGCTGCAGGAGGTTCCTGCAGCCAATCGGAAGCCGTGCCTTGGTTTCCGAACATTTTGGAAGTCAAAAGGACTTCCGGAACTGATTCCATTCAACTTCTGAGGTACGACTATATAGGGAAATGGTTGATCTTTTACTGTGCTTAATGATTTTAGTTTGTTGGAAGTTGCGCAGAGTGACTGGGCAACTCACTCAGATGGGTGGCGAATGAACAATCAAACAAACAGACAGGCAGGCAGACAGACAATTACTGCTACTACTGACATCCTGCAATAGCTACCACTTCCCCCTCTATGACATGTGGCCAACCTACTACTACTCCAGACTCAACCAAAATCCATAGCTGTCAACTGTCCCTTATTTGGCGGGAAACTCCCTTATCCCAGCGCTGTGTCCCACTGCTGTCCCTTATTGATGATGTCCCTTAAATTGCCTGGGTTTCAAAGGAAGCAGCTCATCTCCCTCCCTCCCTGCCTCCGTTGCCTGGGGACTTGCCTTTGCTCAGCGCTTCCCAGCGGAGAGGTGACGGTGGTTTTCCTTGCTGCATCCCCTTTGCCAGGTTGCTGCGCTGTGGGAACCACCGCTTGAGGCTTCGTTTTGGCTGCTGGCTGGGCTTTCTGCCTTTGGCTCGGAGGGGCTCAGAAGTTGAACATACCTGTGCCCCTTATTTTGGCTGCTGATCCCTTATTTTCGAGGCTGCTGGTCCCTTATTTTCAAATCTGTAAGTTGACAGCTATGCCAAAATCCTTTCCATAAAGATCCTATTTGGGACCTGCAGTACTCCCTGCTACTAAACTCACCTCCTCACTTACTGAACGAAGAACAATATCAAGTTGTCTGCTGTGCTCCCTGGAAGCACAGGCATTGATTGCTGTTCATCTGACCAGTTGGAAACTTTTTTATTCAACTGGTTGGGCAAAGGTTGTCCGGTGATTGCCTTTTGTTGTTGTTGTTGAAGTTCTAACATGATAAGAACAGCTGCAAAATAAGAACTTTGATCACGGACAGGCCTGACAGCTATGCAAATTACAGAAACAAATTAGTCCACCATTACTGCAAAATAATGAAAACAACCTTTTCGGCGGCAAAGAAGTTTCAAGGCCCAAGTCCAGTCCCTCGAAGGGACTATATAAAGGAAGCCAGCTGGATCACATGGCAGATTTACTCCTTGGTTCTTGCAGAAAGCAAGATGGCGGCCCTGGGCAGGAACTGCCACCCTTTGTGTTCCTCTTTCTGTTTGGAGTTGCCTGCAGTTATAGCAGTTGACCAGTAGAAGGAGCTTTGCTAAACTGCTAGCTATGCCCCTGACTGTTGCAAGGCTGGGGGGCAGCGGGGAGAAGCAACCTTTTCTAACAAATGACATCACAATGAGATAAAAAGAGTGTGCTGCCACGTATACATTGACCATATTTGGATGGTCATATCTTGACTTAAAAAGTCGAGGTATGAGCAAGGCCTTTGGTTACAAATGCAAGCCATTTGCTCCTCTTTTTCACAAAGCAGGTGAACAAACCGGGAAGTCTGGAACAAACCATTCATTACCTTCAGTTTCCTGTTTCTTTCCTGAACCAGAAAACAATGGCTAACAGCTTTGAAAAAGCCAGCATATGAAGTCATAGTTTCATAAAATCGTAGAATTGAACCTAGCAGTTCGAAAGCATCCTAATGCAAGTAGATAAATACGATACGTACGATAATTTTTATTGTCATTGTCCCATACAGAACAACGAAATTGAAAAAAAATCTACATCAGACATTCAAAAACCCACAAACCTGCTATCCCAGCTATCCTAGCCTGGTTAGCACCTAACGACTCTGATACTCCATAACTGAATACAATATACTCACATAAAGACTACCTTACACTGCGTTTAAAACCAAAATCGCATTTGGATAGAAACTGTTTCTCAGGTGGCTAGTCCTAGACTTTATAACCCTGTACCTTCTTCCAGAACGCAGAAGCTGAAAGAGATCATTTCTGGGGTGTGCACTATCTCTGCAGCTTTCTTATGGCACCTGGAAGCATAGATTTGATCCAAGGTGGGAAGAGTGCACCCAATTATTCTCTCTGCAGTCTTTACAACCCTGGACAGCATTGTTTTTCCCCTGGCCGTGCAGCTCCCAAACCACACACACAGACCATAAGTTAATACACACTCAACAGTGCAATGGTAAAATGCCATCAACAGGTCCTTTGAGAGATTATTTTTCTGGAGGATTCTCAGAAAATAGTCCAACCCCCTGCAATGCAGGAATCTCAACTAGATTAATCATACAAGAAATGTAGCCATCCAACCTCTGCTTTAAAACATCCAAGGAAGGAGAGTCCACAACCTCCTAAGGAAGACCACTGCACTGCTGAACAGCTCTTACTGTCAGAAAGTTCTTCCTGATGTCAGAATCTTATTGTTCATGGGTCCTTCTGGGCCATTCAAACTCATGCTTTCTTTTTTAATTGTTATTATTTTAATGTACAAATGAATATACAGTGGCACCTCGGGTTACATACGCTTCAGGTTACAGACTCCGCTAACCCAGAAATAGTGCTTCAGGTTAAGAACTTTGCTTCAGGATGAGAACAGAAATCGTACTCTGGCGGCGTGGCAGCAGCGGGAGGCCCCATTAGCTAAAGTGGTGCTTCAGGTTAAGAACAGTTTCAGGTTAAGTACGGACCTCCGGAACGAATTAAGTACTTAACCCGAGGTACCACTGTACTTCTGCCCACCTAGGGAGTCCCCCTAAGTATGCAGAAACCACTATATATATTTTTGGCCCTGTTTCATTTCCAAACAGCATCACTAAAGTTTGGTATTAGAAAGAGAACAAGTGGGGACTTGCCACGAAACGTTGCTTTTTCGGATTAGGAAGCTGTGACCCTCCAGATGTTGTCCTCAACATTGCATTGGCATAGACAATGAAGACTCTTGAGGCGCCTTGAAGACAAATGGATTTGTTCTGGAATGAATGTTCATAGATTACAGTCCACTTCATTAGATACATCTGCTGAAGTAGACTCTAGCCCATAAAAGCTTATGCCATAATTACTGACTTGCCATTGGTTCGAGTCCTACCCTCCAGAGCAGGAGAAGCTGTTTGAAACTGTTAACCACAGTTTCCCAGTTGAAACGAAACTGCAAACGATATCTAGTGGAAGGCCTCTTGGTTGTTGGCTTCCACTGCGAAGAGAGAATCAAAGAGACTGCATAAGCGATTGAAAGAGGAGCTTGGTTGGCAGAGCGTGAGGCTCTTAATCGCATGGGTCATGGGTTTGAGCCCCATGTTGGGCAAAAGATTCTTGCATTGCAGGGAATTATACTAGATGACCCTCGTGGTTCCTTCAATTCTATGCTTCTATGCTTCCGTGAAAGGCTTGTTCAAATCCTGACTTATTAAGCCAAAAGTAAATTTGAGATGTATTTTAAAATGTTAATTTATTTTATAATGTATTTTTTTAATTGCTGATTTTATTTATATTTTTAAACATTTTTTAGATCAGCTTGTCAGATTTTATGGGCAATTTTAATGTATCTTTAATATTTTATGTAATCTTCTTATAGGTTTTGTTGATGAATAAATCCTGTTAAATTAAATAAATCAATAAGAAGAGGATACAATTATCTGGACATTCCCAGTGGCATTCTTAGCTTCATGTAATGTTTGGCAATATTTAACCACAGTCACGGAACAGGCTGACAATTCACCGGCCAATCCTCTTTGCACCCTATGGTAGCTTAGTAATTATTTTCATTTGTCCCATTGTCACAAGCCACACTTGTCTGCACAAAAGCCACATTCTGTGCACGCGAGGTGCAATTTGGCCCCACGCCCCATTTCATATCAATTAAAGATGCACTCCTTTATTATTCATATGTTTATTAATTAAATCCATGGATCATCTTTCCTCCCCCATAAGGATTTCCCAAGGTAGTTCACCGTTCAGATATAAAATACATGCAAGATTAAAACCGGCTCCGTGATGCAAACGACAAAGGCAACAAAACACAAAAATAGCACCAGACAGCAGACGAGGTCAAAATCGTAATAATATTTGGCAGCCTTAAGACCAACCAGATGAAAACCCAACAATTGCTTTTAACCACCTTCAAATGTCCTGTGGGATGAAAGCTGCTTTTATAAAAACTGGGAGGGAGGCAACCTAATGAGTCTCCTAAGGGAAGGAGTTCCCCATAATGGGTACCAGAACAAACAAATAAAGCCCAGAGCATTGCATTTTCCCTTTCACCAGCTTCTCTTGCTCTCATTCCAGGTGTAAGAGGTTGCCTGGTCTCACATCACCTTGGGAAGAGGCCAAGTGCTCATGCTTGATTCAGACACTAACCATTAACCTGAGGGCAGCAACAAATGGCCAGGAGAATGGCGTTTGTGGTTTGTAGTAGGGCCATACCTTTGCAGTGTGTTCCGGTGCTGTGAATTAACAGCGCACTGTGCATAATGCAACCCCCATCCCGCTCCTCCCTGTCTTCCCTTTGTTTAGGGGGGGAAAACAAAGGGGGAAAACCTCCCTGCTGCAGGCCTGTGTTAACAGCCCTGCCAGTGAGCAATATAAAACCCTCCTTTTCAATGTGCATTCATGATGATAGGTGCCCATGATGATATTGCGGCGGTTATACGCCATCTCTCTGTGATTACTGTTCACACCTGCACATAGGTACCAACTCCCCGGGACCCTGGGGGCTCAAGCACCCACAAAATTCCCCACCAAGGGGCTGGGAGCCCACAAATTTCGGTCCATGCTGCAGTGGCACCCACGGCGCCAGGCACCCATGGTTGCGGGACCCAGCTGGCACTCCTGCGCTTGCAGAAACTTTTTGAGTGGACATAGTGCTTTGTTGCCTTTCAGTGCATGTCCTTTAAGCTCCTCCTGAAATCCTGCAAGTTTTCATACCACAAATGTTTGTTGCTGTTGTTTTGCGTTTGTTGTGCCCCGCCAGTGAGGCAGTAACGTTGGGGAAGCATCACAGGGCAATTACTAAAGCAAAATGATGTGTGGATGATCCAGGATAAATCCACCACAAATGTGCTATTACTGCATCAATGACATGTTGCAAGACACCCGCCCGCCACACTGTAATCAGTCTAGGAGGATCTAAATACCCACAGGGTAGAAATTAAGTATGTGGGTGCTTTTATTTATCATAGAAATGCTTCCCGCCCCTTATCCTCTCCCCCTTCCTCATATTTTGTTTAATCCTAGCAAAGAAGGAAATTATATGGCTTGGGAACGGGAAGTGATAGACAAATTAGTGGAAGGTTTTAACCTCAGATGATTAACCTCTTTCCAGCCCTCTCCTCTTTGCTGTCCATCATCAGTTCCCAGTGGAGAGTCGCTAGCTAGACATCTTTGCATCATTATCTCCTGTGTCATTTTTCTGGGTGTTGAACATTCCTCTCCCTCCGACGCCATGAGGTCGGCTGTCGTGAAAATTGGCGAGTGTTGCTAGAGCAGCCACCGCCACTGGAGGACTAGCCTTAGCTGTGGTCCAAAACATCTCAAGGGCACCACCTTGGCAACGGCTGGTGGTCTCGCTTCTTCCTGTCTTTGGCTCTTGTTCTGCTCATAGCTGTCAACTTTTCCCTTTTCTTGCGAGGAATCCTATTCGGAATAAGGGAATTTCCCTTAAAAAAAGGGAAACGTTGACAGCTATGGTTCTGCTCTGTCTGCAAAGAGGTATTATCCACGTAATTCAGGCAGCCTATAATGGTTTTTCTTCCCCTCACAGCAAAGTCACATGGCCCCAAAGCCATGGACTAAGTCCTTCAGCCAATCAACGTAGTTTCTCTTTAGAGCTGTTACCAGGGTAGAGATAGGTTTGGCTCCGGAAAGTTTTGATGGGTTGTGAAATCCAACCTGAAAGCGAGAGGACAGCACTCATTCAGGGTTAATAAGATAGATGCATGTTGGTAAGCATTGGTTGGGCAGACTAAATCACCAGCTGTGTTTGGGGTCAATAGATCTTTAAACCATGGGTGTATATATTCACACCTTGTCAGTAGCAGCATGGCAGCTCTTGCAACATGGCAGCTTCCAGACCCTGGTGTCAGCACCTGGCAGCCGTGGGCAATGAATTGCCACGGCCCCAGCCACCTGGCAGGCCCCCCTGCTGATGCAGCGAAACCCCCCCCCCCCAATTTTCCTGACCCAGCTCTCTGAGCAGCACCAGGCAGCTGGCTCCAGCTACTTTTTATATTATTGTTGTTTCACACAGTGCCCCTTGCATAACGTTTCTCTGATGGGTTAACAGAGGAATCCGAGGGCTCCCTTGGGCAAAAAACAAAGACACCAACCAGGACAATTTGGAGCAAAACAGCAGCCTGTAGACTTGGCCTTTATTGGAAACTGTCGTGACAGGACTCCCACCCACAACAAGATGAAGCAAGATGGAAGCCCAGAACAAAAGAAGATCCCAACTTTTATTAGTCACTAATCCCCCAAGCTACACCCCTAGAACTACATCATGACTACATCATTGATACATCACAAAAAGGAGGGGTTGCGGGAGGGGTTTGTGGAGGTAACCTGAGTATTTTGTCACCTGGCTGGTTCCTCCTTTCCCCCTCCTCATGAGTACTTTCCAGGTGACAAAGGGGAGCTTGCAGTTTCCTGCCCCCAGAGGGAAGAGCTGATCATTGTCCTTTGTTCCAGTCCGCACTGAATCCACTCCCATATGCAAGTTCTTTGTGACCTTGATGGTCTTCTGTCTAAGACCATCAGGGTTGGCATAACAACTGGGCAGGGCTCCTGTGTACATGCTGGTACGCTCAAGGGATTATGGCCACCCTGTATCAAACCTATCCCCTTTGATAGTCCTTTCTTCATGGAGCAAAATAAAAGTGGATAAATCCGATGTACGGTTGATTTGGCCAGGGGCCACTGACATTTATTTATTTATTTAGAAAATGCTCCCTCGTTGCTTTGCATTCCAAAGCATCTCAGAACCATGCGCCAAATAGGAATCGATACAGTGACATTAATAAGAAACATTTCAAAAGCCATATTAAATTAACAGTATACTGTTCATGTAATAAATACCTGTGTTCGTGCGCCCATCCAAAATCCCAACCTGCTCACTTTGTACAGGAGAGGCAGCTAGCCAGACCCTACCCAAATCATGCAGCTTAGGGACTCAGAAGAAATATTTCCTGTCCACCTGGGGCAACACACAACCATCTCTCTCCTCACCCCCGCCACACATATCTGAAGGAAGCAAATTATGAGGATGGGTGGGAGAAACCTTCCATGGTTTTTTTTGGGGGGTGATGGTGGTGGTTGCTTGGTTTGTTTTGCTTCCTTCAGATGTTATTTGCAACTGCTTATGAGCAGACATACCAAAATGGCTTCCACCCTGCTGCCTAGGGTTGCCATATTTCAAAAGGTAATTTATTTATTTTAAGAAACCCACCAAAATTGTTGAGCTTTCTTTGGAACCAAACCCAAGTTGTTTGGGAAACCTCCCCCCCCCCCCATAATGATTTTAAGCCTTTGGAGCTGTTTCTGCTGCTTTTTCCATTCTGTTGCCATACATCCGGGTTTTCCCTGTCATTTTGCCGCTTCCGCAAAATTCTCCCCCTGACAACACCACCAAATCTTTATTATGGTCATAGAGAAGCAAAAGGAAGGAGGGGTACAATCATTTAAAATCTTAAAAAAAAAAAGTTCTAAAAAAACCTAAAATGAGTTAAAACAGAAAGTATATAAGTCTATAAGAATCCTAAAGAAGGTAAGTGAGTCTAGAAGAATGGCAGATGAAGATGATGGACTATGCAGAATTAGCAAAGCTGACAGGGGAAATCTGAAACCAGAGCAGCCCAACATTCCAGAGAGATTGGAGTAAATTCATTCAATATATAGACAATTATTATAAACATATAAAAACACTAGCAGGACTGCAATAAATCTTGCAATGTTTATTAGAAGAATTTTTTTTAAACATTTGATTAAAGTTTAAAAAATATTGGAATAAATGTAGAATTGTGATGATATAAATGTGCAGAAATACGACGTAAGCATGTGAAAACCAGATGATGAGACAGAGGGAAGTCGAGTGATTCTGCGGAGCTAAAAGTTATGTAAAAAGGAATAAGATGTTATGTGAATGTTAAAAATGGAAAATCTCTCTATCTATCTCTATCATCTATATCTATCGATCTATCTATCTATCGATCTATCTATCTATCTATCTATCATCTGTCTTCTTCTGTCTATATTAAAGAAGCTAAGCGAGTCTAAAAGAAGGGTTAGGAACATTAGACAAGAGTGAAAGTTCGT